GCTAAATCTTCAGCATCTTTGGACTTTAATACAAATTAGTTTACAGACTTTTTAATTTAAAAATGCAATTTGTTTACAGAAGTTCAGAACTCATAACAGCCAAAGAAAACAAAAATCTGCAAAATTTGCATTAGATCCACACAAACTGAAACCAGTCTGTTCTTCAATTTCAGTTACGTCTCTAGTTTTAAAACGTTTTTGAGGACTTTTATTACAGGAGTGAATAAAGCAAATAAGAACAGACAGTGTGTGCAATGGCCATTTCTGAATAAAGAACAACACCTCATGGTCCCCTTTTGGATATTAGAGGACACTGCGTCTGCCATTTATAACAGCGTCTCACATCTCATTTCTGTAGAGGTTCAATGTCAGCACTAATAACTTCTAATGTCATCCTGTTTTTCCCCTCTGCGTGTGTGTGGCAAGTTTAACCTGTCATGGCATCCTAAGCTGTAATAGATATGCTGCATAATTCATGAGACAGTTCTGTGATTATGAGCATTACTGTCATTACTCAGCAAGCAGCCAATCACGCCACTGATAATGTGACGGCAATGGGGACACGTCCTCAACTTCCTCTGGAGTCACTGTCTTTCCCTGTTTTTTTTTTTTTTTTTTTTTTTTTACACACAAACTCAATTCTGCAATAATAAAATTCTGTGAAAAGCAAACCGAGTGGGCTTCAAGCACTACATGCAAACCAAAACTGACAAGTCAGTCTCACAACAAGATCTAGGTATTTTCTGAATGTGGAAATTGTATGAATTTGTACAATGCACTCTTAATGAAAATGTATGATTTATGTAAAAATAAAGTATACAGTTTCAAATTTAATCCCACCACTAAATCTATGGTATCAATGGAATGAGAGCAGGTGAAAATAATAATTATGTATTATGAGGTCGTCCAAATTAGTGACATTATACAAATCATGCTAAAACAGTTATTAAAGAAATCATTTAAAATACTTAAATCATATATGTCCATTTTGTAACAGCTCAATATGTCATGTACAATGGAATAAATGAGGTGATATAAACTGTTCATAATACACTTGACAATCATTAAGCATGTTCCTAAGCTAACCATGTGATAATCTCACATTTAAATAACTGTTTTTTAAACAATAGTGATGTTAGCATTGGTGCTAAGTTAGGAGCGTGAAATATGTATACAATAGTGCTGTTAGCATTGGTGCCAAGTTAGGAGCATGAGGGTAGCAACAGACAAACTAATTTGTCCAAATTTAGAAAAAAAAAATAAATAAATAAAAAAAAATAATATATATATATATATATATATATATATATATATATATATATATATATATATATATATATATATATATATATATTAGGCCTGTGGTAAACAAAACAGAGTTTAACAAACAACTCATTCTATTACCATGATGCTAAACAGTAGAGTCTTATCTCAGAGTTAAGTCCAATAATGTGCAATATTAGCATTTTGCTTAAGCTAAAACACATGAGAATAAAAGTATAATCAAGTATAATCCCAAAACTGCATATTTTGCGATGTGACTCTTGTGGATGAGCACATTACGATATCAATGCGGAAACGACACATTGTGCAGCCTTAAATGAGACCCAATGAAATTTCCTCAATGCAATCTGAGATGGGCAAAACCAAGCATCTAAAAAAGCTACCAAATTGATCCTGGCTACGTTTTGGAACAATCTTGTTGTACACCTGTGATGCCCCTTAAAATGCTTTCTAAGTAGGCAGCTAGGTTTTGCAACAGGGCTGCTGTATTACATATGAATGAAAACAAATTTGTATGCATGGGTTTTTCAGACTCCCCAATCTGACTTCCTCTCTACCTCAATCTCTCCCTTCTTATTTCAAGCTATCGGTGTCCTTGTTTCTCTTTCTTTCTGCAAACGCTCAATGAATCCGACATCTGAGGCGGTTTATCTAGGGTCCTTGCACCTCATTCTCATTTTTAAATCGTAATCTCTGTCAGTCCGTCCCTCTGTCTCTCTCTCATCTGTATTCTCCATGGCGCTCTCTCGTTCTCTCGGGTGCGGATCTCACGTGTCACTCTTTGGTCTAATGGAATCACAGCTCAGTCTCTCAGCTGGACAGTAATCACTCTCTCTCTCTCTCTCTCTCTTTCTCTCTTTCAATTGCTCACTCGCTCTCACACATAACACAAGGGCTTCACTTGAGCAAAAGCCTCATGGAAATCCTTTCAAGTATGCTGCAGTCCAAAGACAGAGCATACTACTGTGTATAATACCCGAACATCTATCTGATTATAGACTAAAATTCACAAACAGATACATAGTTGTCTTCATTATGACTATAAAGTCAGTACAAGTGTTTTAAAAAGATGCTACCAAGGAATTGTCAACCAATAAACTAGACTTTTTGTTTCATAAAGCTCCATGTGCTTTGCTGTGTACTGAGGATCAGTCAAGCCTGCAATTTTGCAAATGCTTGTTGTGCACTAGACATCATGCTTAAGATTCCAGGTGAAAAATACCATTGACTCACAATGGGCGAAGGGATTGAGCCATTACGACTCTATGTACATGGCTTATGGTTTCCAAGATGTAGAATCAAGGAATCCAGCAATAAAACTTGAATTTGTTGTATAACAGCATGTCAAGGAATTTTGTCATACTGCAGAGAGAGCTGACTTGCATATTGCATCTCTTTTAGCTAGACGAGTCAGTCTTCTCAAATGGAGACTTGTCATTCCTCCATCACATAACATGTGAATCCGAGAAATCTTTAGCTGCATAAAACTTGAGGAGTTAAGATGTTTACTTGCAGGGTGTCTCAAATCTTTTTACAAGACCTGGAATCCTGTTTTAGGGATTTTTGTTGATATCAGCACTAATATATATGAAACTACTGAAAAGAGAGAATATGGACTTGTAGGAATATTTTTTTTATCTATTCAAACACAATCAGTTCTTACTTTTATTTACTTATTCATTTGTAAACTTTCATTCTTTCAAAAAGTTTTTATTCACTCATTTTCTTTTCGGCTTGGTTTCTTTATTAATCTGGGGTCACCACAGCAGAATGAACCGCCAACTTAGCTAGCACATAATTTACGCAGCGGATGCCCTTCCAGCTGCAACCCATTACTGGGAAACACTCATACACTCTCATTTACACACATACACTACGGACAATTTAGCTCAACCCGTTCACCTTTACAGCATGTCTTTGAACTTGTGGGGAAACCAGAGCATTTATATTATACTACTTTGTGTGGCAAGGCGGTGCGATTTGGGATAAATATTGAATTGCAATTTTTTGACAGATATTGTGATTTGATTTGCGACTTGATTTTGAAGTCAAGATTCAGCTCAATAATCTGTATTGAAGATTCTTACTGCTAAAATACAGTGAGTGTTAAAATAAAGATATTAACGTACTCCAACATGCATGGCGAAATGGGTAGCGATCGTGCCTCACAGCAAGAAGGTTGCTAGTTCGAGCCTCGGCTGGGTAAGTTGGCATTTATGAGTGGGGTTTGCATGTTCTCTCTGCGTTTGCGTGGGTTTCCTCCGGGTGCTCCTGTTTCAGGAGGTAAATCAGGTAAATCAGATAAGCTAAATTGTCCATAGTGTATGTGTCTGAATGAGAATGTATGGGTGTTTCCCAGTGATGGGTTGTAGCTGGAAGGGCATTTGCTGAGAAAAATGAATGCTGAATAAGTTGGCGGTTCATTCCACTGTGGCAACTCCAGATTAATAAAGGGACTAAGCCGAAAATAAAATAAATGAATGAATATCCCATTTTGGTGTGCGAATAGCAAATCCAAACATTTCAAATTGTGAGTGATTCAATTTCGCAGCCCTAATGTGTGGTCTTGTCAAATACAAAGATAAATAAACTAAAACAACAAATTATCATATAGTATAAAGAGTGCCTATCAAAATAAAAAAATGTACACCTCCCATCAATTACACACTTAATGAGCATGTTTTACACAATTAGTTTAACACAAATATATAGGGATTTGGGGGGTATGGGGGGGTTAATAATTTATTTATTACTCACAATTCCTAAAAAAATATTATTTTTTGTTAAACTGATTAAGTTTCAAGATCGCTATTAATTGTAAATTATTCATAGCTTGAATTAGGCTTGAATTAAGTTAATTAAATCAGTAAAGTCCAGGGAAAGAATTGAGGAAAAAAAACTATTTGATCAAATGACATATTTTGACTTGGACCGAACTTTAATCATTATTTAAAATATTTGAAAAATGGCTTAAATAATATAATTGTATAAAATAATACATTTAAATAATATTAACTAAAACATTATGCATTCATGTTAATTAATTGATTTGAAAAAATAGTAGATATAGTATAAATTGATAATGTTATCATAATGCAAAGAAAATTTGTGATCTGATAAGATTATAAAAAATTCTTACACATTGACAAAAACATTCCAAATAACTCCAAGGCATAAAACCCTTTTTATTTATTAACATAATTATACCATTTCAAATCAAACTAAATAATTAATGCCTTTGTGTTTTTTTCATAGACACCTCTCACAGAATGTAAATTTTCTTGAGCAAAATCCACTCATTTCAGTATTCAATTAAATGTCATAACTTCCTGATGCAGATTTCACAAGTCATTCACTCACACAGATTTACCATATATACAAACAGACATCTCCTTCATTAGAAAGTGACAGCAGACACCGAACAGTTTTTTCTCTTCATACACTTTTCGCTCGCTTTCCTAGAAAGCACCAAAACAACCTAGCAAGCAGCCAATGACTAAAACCAGGTCCATCCAACTCTTTACCAACAACCCAAGCATCACTGCAAAATTCAAGAGACTTTCATCAACATAAAAATCTTCCTTCCCCGTTCGAGTCCTTAGACAATGTCAGGCAGGAAAACAATCAATAAAATGCCACTGACCATGCCAAGAACACCAAGCCAGCGAGGGCACCGGTGTCGAAGGCTAAGAAAACAAGGGTGAAGAGTTACTCACAAGGTACTGTTCGCAGATAGAGGTTGTCCCGAATGATTTGCTGCAGCTCGTGGTCCAAAGAGCCCTTCTGGAAACGCAGGTTGAGGTACTGTCTGAGATCTTTATCCACAACACCTCCTGTAATACACACACACAGGTTTAGATGACCCTCCACCTTGATATAATCTCATCTGATAACATAGTCCACAGCGTTTACCTCACATTCACAATAAACCCGGTGAAGATATGCTTTTGTGTGGAGTTTTCCTCTCGTAATAAAGGACTCCATCAAGAAAATGTGTGTTTAGCTTTCCTATTTTCTAAGGAAAGGGCCTGACAATACTGCAGCGAACCATGATTTAGTCACTTGATACAGAAATCTGACTTCAAAGCGATCACCTGAAGAGCTCTGAGAATACGCTTGTGATAGTTTGCACTTTGTTCTCTTATCAGAAAGCTTTTTCAGGCTCCTAAAAGTGTCTTTCTTTCCTCTTGAGCTTGTTTTTTCATTGATAAAAGCACACCGGGTCATGGATGCACATGGTGGATATAGAAATGGGTTGAAATCTGAGCACATGTGTGTGCAGGAATTCCCCGTGGGGCTTTTTAGTGATGAATACACACTCACGCACGTCGTCATCATTATTACAGCCGGTGATGAAATGAGGAGGGGGTTTTCTCTTTGGAAAATGTGCCTTATCAGCAGACAGATGGATGGAGAGGGAGAATGAGAGTGGGGCTGAAGCGAAGAAAAAAAAAGAGAAAGAGAGAGAGGCTTGGGAATATGGAAATAACCTGGCGGAATATATAGGCATAAGTAAAATGCAGGTAGGTATTCCTCCTCCACACACATACACAACTACATACACACACACAGCATTATTTTTTCTGCTTCTTTTAAATCATTCAACAAACTTCATGGTTAAGCTCAAATCCATAAAACATCAATGACCCAAAAATAAACTGTTCAGAGTACTAAAATTGATGTTTCAATCAGGTACAAGACTTATAAAACTAAAATTTATAGTAATTAATTAGTAAATCAATTTCACAGCAAATCTAAGATAGGGTCAGATGATTTAAAATAGACAATTTGGATGTGTGCTTCTTCAAAACTGGCGTTACATTAATTTTGAAAAACAGTGACAACATAGTGTTTCTTTAAGTTTCTAATCTTACAAATAATGAGCAATACACTGATGGATCATCTCATAGACATCGCTTTGAAATGCTACAGTGTTTGTGTCTACCTCAATGAAGAACAGCTAAGCAATGATCATTGTATCCAATCACAGTCATAACTGTTGAGCATGTGAACACAGCACTCAAATGTAGGTACATTTTTTGTACCAACTGATGCTAGTAGTCAGTACTTTTGTTGTCTCTAATACTAGTGTGTCAAATTGCAAGACTATAGTGACACATAATAAAACTATATTATTTTTTTTAATCCTTTCAACAAATATTTTTTTAATGAGCCACATCATCCATTTTTTTTAGGTGTGTCTGTATTTAAATCCTAATATTAGTGACAAATCACTAGTATCTCAAATTCCTCCAAATTTTATCCTAATTCCTCCAAATTTATACTTTAGCATCAAGTGTTTAGCGTACTCCATGGCATATCCCCAGTAAGTAACCAAAAACGTTGGGAGTATTTATACTCTTGCTTTCTGTCTGTCCTCCCAAACGCTGGGCAATAGGATTTCTACGCCACACTGAGTCAAATTTGTTTACTGGTGTTTTGAGATTACACCAGAAAAGCATGTGATGCAAAAGTATTTCAAACTCACACTCATTCAAGGTAGAAAGGAGAACTGGTAAATGTCCACCAAATGGACACAAAACAAAAGGACAAACAAATATGGAGTTTCTCCACGGTAACTGAAATTAGTTAACCGCCACTGGCTCCGCCCCCTTGGCTCTTGGCCTTGACCAAACTCATCCCTTCTGGCAAGCTGACCAATCACAGATCTTGCACTTTACATCATCAAAACATGTACACTACTAGTCAAAACTTTGGGGTCAGTAGGATTTTTAAATGTTTTAAAATGAACTTATCCTGCTCACCAAGGCTGCATTTATTTAATCAAAAATACAGAACAAATTATATAATTGTGAAATGCTATTGCACTATTAAATAACTGTTCAAAAGTAAAAAAATATATAAGTTTATAATTTAATTTAATGATTTATTTAAGTGATTTTAAACATGAATTTTCACCTTCGTTACTCCAGTCTTCATTACTCCAGTCTCCAGTCTTCTTCTTCTTAATAATAATAATAATAATAATAATAATAATAATAATAATAATAATAATAATAAAAACAACAGTGGTATAGTAAAAAAAAGCAATATTAATTTTATTTTAAACTATATAATAAGAAAGCAGTTATTTAAAATTGTAATAAATATTTAACAATTTTACTTTTTTTTTAAATTTAATATATGTAATGAAGAGCTTGATGCTTGTTGAACAGAATAATTTTCTTAAAAAAGAACATGAAAACAAAAAAAAATTTACCCCGAACTTTTCACCACTTTTGTAGTTTTTTTTTTTTTTTTGGTGCGCATCAGAGTCTGTGAGGTATGGCAAAGGTTATGCGATTGTGTGAAGGCTACATTGGAACTACAGCACTAAATCAATAAAAAGTACAAATTTCTCTTGGATCTTTGCTCCTTAAAGGACAAGTTCAGTCAAAATTTTCAAAAGTTTGGGTATATAAATTGTTTAAATAGGTGTCATTCATTTCCAAGACTAGTAAGATGAACATAAAGCATTCCTCTTTATTTCTTGTTTGTTCCACCAAACTGTTTTTGAAAAGCAATAAATCAACTTTACTATAATTCATTCATTCATTTTTTTTCGGCTTAGTCCCTTTATCAATCCGGGGTCACCACAGAGGAATAACTGCCAACCTATCCAGCATGTTTTTTACGCAGCGGATGCCCTTCCAGCCGCAACCCATCCCTGGGAAACTTTACTATAATATAATGTTTAAATCTTTAAATAGCTAGTTCATCCATCCATTTGAAAGCAAGTATTTCATTTCAAGTCAAGGCAAAATGTACAGTATTTGAATAAAAAATTGCATCAAAGCATTATTGCAATAACTGTTATTCCAAAGAGAAGTAAGCTAAATTCAATTAAAGCTTATATCCTTTAAGATAATATATATAAAATAAATAAAATATTTATTTGGTTTGTCCTTAACATTAGTTATAGACTAGTGAAAACATTGACATTTGGTGTCAACAACATCATTGCGTTTCCTCAGTGTGATCCATCATCTTAATTGAAAAAGACTCTATGGTTGAGCACACAATTCATAGTCAATTTTGGTCTATTTTTAACAGCGTGATCACACATATTTAGAAGACACATAATATAATGTAGTTCATAAGCCAAATGGAGTTTCTGTATAGTGAATTTAAGACATTTTTTTTTCAGCAATATAATCAATCCACTTTCACGGTCCCAATATTTTCAGATTATAAGTCTAGACTGTTCCTTATACAAAACTATAAAATGTATTTAATGAGACATAAAACTCATAAGGACATGTTTTTTGTTTTTTTTTTAAATATTTTTGGAGCTCAAAATTTAGGGCTCTGGTCCCCATATTCTCATTGTGTAGAAAAGAGCAGCATAGACATTTTTCTAAATTTCTCCATTAGAAATGTCTCCTTTCCAAAAAAATAAAAAATAAATAAAAAAAATTGTAAGAAGATCTAATGTTCATTTTCATCTTCCATAAACCCTAATTTAAACACACACACACACATGCACAAATATCACCAGCACATTTAACCCAAAAGCAAAAGAATATTGTCACGAAAGACGTCATTCTAAGTAATTATGCTCATATGGGTTTCAGAAACTGTTTTATTCATCCTTCAAAAATGCACTGAACACAAACACCATCCATCAATTCACGTATGCACACCTTTGGATATAAGAACTCCACATAGAGCAAACACGATGCGTCTACAATAACCTACTTCAGACATACCGGTTAACCAGACATGACAATCATCCTACACATGCACACACACTCACACGCGCGCACACACAGTTAAAGGAAACCAATCAAATAATCCCGTGCTTAAAAATCCAACACAGTTCAGTCTGGATGACACAAGGACACCAAATGAATGGCAAATAAATCACACAGAGAAACAAATCAAGTCTGTAAAATCTAAATCCTTGCTCAAATCCCTTACAAATACACACATTCAATTGGTAAGTCGACTCACAGAGCACAACGGAGCGGCACTTCTCCTGCACGGCTCAGCCAGATGTTGCAGGCGATGATTTGAGCATGTCTGAGATTGCATGCATGAGTGTGTGTGTATATGTGTGTGTGTGTGTGTGTTCAGTCCAGGTCTCCACAGGTCTGCAGGTTTTCTATGAGCATTAGATGGTCTCAGTGCTACAGGCTGTCTCTCAGCACGCTGCCGTAACAGAGAGTGTCGCTCTGCAGTGACCGAGAGAGAGAGAGAGAGAGAGAAAGAGAGGTTGAGCATTGGGACGCTGCAGAAGAAACGTGCCCTGACAGTGGGAGCCTATCACAAAACGCTCTCTCTCTCCGTGTGTAGGAGATGGAGGAGGGGAAGAGATGCATCACCCTCTATGGGAGGATAGGAGATGTGCAGGCAAAATTTTTGAAGATTTAACTTTTAATTTAGATATATTTTAATATTTAATTGACATACTATTTTACTATTTTAATTAACATACAGTTGAAATCAGAATGATTAAACCCCCTTTGATTTTTTTTCTTTTTAAAATATTTCCCAAATTTAACAGAGCAAGGACATTTTCAAAGCATGTCTGATATATTTTTTTTCTTCAGGAGAAAATCTTATTTGTTTTATTTGGGCTAGAATAAAAGCAGTGTTTAATTAAATAAAAAAAAAAATTAATGTCAAAATTATGAGCTACTTTAAGCTATATTTTTTTTTCGATTGTCTCCAGAACAGACCACTGTTTTACAATAATCTGCCTCATAACCCAAACCTGCCAAGTTAACCTAATTCACCTTAAGCCTTTAAATGTCACTTTAAGCTGTATAGAAGTGTCTTGAAAAATATCTAGTAAAATATTATTTACTGTCATCATGGCAAAAATAAAATA